TTATTTATTTATTTTTTTGCCCCCCCTTCATTAAATATGTTTTGCACAATAGGTTTACAAATCTTACACATCTTAACTCTGACGGAAGACTGCTGACTGACCCTTGTCGATTTGTGGTCTTGTGACCAATTATCTTCTCTGCCTTTTCTCAAGGATTTTCCTTCTTTTTTCCCCAGTGAGCATTATGCTCCTTGGGTTCTATTGGTGTGTTCCTGTATCCTGTTAGACCTAGATATGCCTCCTAAGAACAGCGTCCCTGCTCTCTTTACTAAAGAGCTTCCCACCCAGTCTTACCTCCGGGACAGGCCAGAAAGCCAGTGCTACTGAGGTGTGAGTTGGTCTTCAGTTTCATCTGCTTAACTCCAACTTCAAGTACGAGTTGATGTGTTAGTCAGTGAGCTCCATCCTATCAGAGACTTTGGAGAGGCACTTTTTTGTCTCCATTATTCGTTAACAAGAGGTGCCTTTAGCTTCCAGATGTTACCATCTCATTTGGTTAAACCTCTGATACACAGTTGGACAAAACTGCTAATGTGGGTCTAATGTAGTTGTGATTAAGCCTGTGTACAAAAGCATTACCTGATCTAAAGGTTTGGTATTCTAAATTAAGTTGACAGACTTTGTGCAGCCATCCTGAAGGATGTCTGAGGAGTTCGCTATTCTTTACAGACGGCTCTAGACAGTTGTTGGGAGGTTTTGCCATCCCGCATTCGTGCTGTTCACCCTCCATGAAGGCTGGACATAGTTGCCATAGCACGGCCTGTGATACTGGGCTAACTGCCTTCGTCTGGTTTTGTGTTTTCATCAGCCCCACCTTTGTACGTGAGAAACCCATCTTAAACACCCTACCCTGCTTTAGAAACTGAAGGAAAGGTTTGGTCATTCAGGCCACCAATCAACTTAGATGGATGTCCTGAGGTGTTTACTGTTTTCATCTAGGTGAGAATTCTCTTCCTTGGACGTTTGGTTTAGATTCTGGGACCAAATGCCAAGAAGTTCTGTTCAAAGGCAAGATTCAAAATCTGTTATTTCACTTGGCATAATGGACATTTACTACATTAGTCACTTCTCCAGGTTTCCCTGAATTAGCATGATGGAGTAAGATAAGCAGACATCTACCTTTGGAACCATAGCATAATAAAAATTAATTGTAGCTGGAATAATTAGCACTGTGGCTGTCTAGTTGCCATGAACCCAAGGAGTGAAGGGACAGCATTTTGCTTAGGCTCATCTTCCCACATTCCTGGTAAAGGAGGGTTTAAGTCTGAATGTGTAATGGCAGCATGGCCTTTGCCAAATGAGTGACGGGTTAACTAGAAAATGTGACAATCACATTTCCTCTTTGCTCAAATAATTCTGTTTTTCCAAAGCGTTAGCAGCTTAATTAAATCTGTTGGACTGGGGGAGGAGAGAACTGTTCTCTAGCGGTTAACATGGTATTCTTTAAGAAGGAAAAAAACAAAGCCAAAGAAAACTCATTACCAGGCATGTTTGCCTTAAAGATGGTAGTAGGTAAAATCTGGAGTTTTAATATGTTTTTAAAGCTTCATATCTCATACTTGGTGTTCGGTTCTCAGTCTAGTATTTCGTGAGTTCTTGCTGTGTTTTATTTAAGGGTTATGTGCATTTAACTGCCTACCTAGCTTTCTTCGTTCGTGACTACGTTCTCACCACAGGGGTCTTGACAAAGAGTAAAAACGTGCTCTTTACATAGTTTACTTTTAAGAGCCTGCAATAACCTATAGCTTTGCATCTCGTGCAGGCCTGATGGACTTGAGATGTCAGGATCAATTACGAAACCGAAGTTTGGTGCCTCCTCTTTATCATGTTTTTTCCCTTGTAGCAGTTGTGTTTAATGTCATTAAAGAGAAATAAAAGTTCTTGTCATGGCATATGTACTGTGGCCGTCTGTTGCAGGCTCTGAAGGAGGGTTCCTTCCTCTTTTGCGTAGGCAGGTTAGTGGGGTCTGGGCGGGGGTGGCAGTTAGTAGAGTGTGGTACTGGGGAGCCAAGGGTCCACGCTCCGTATTCTTTTGAGGGTAAATTACAGTGTTGAGAAAGGCCTTCCAGCAGGTAAGAAATGTTGAAATTGATTGGGATTTGCAGCTACATGTAGTGCATGTCAGGAGCCTGACATAGGGAAAGCCTGAAATACCACTGTGCTGCTGTTTTTGCAGAGGGGGAGCCTGCTCAGCCCGATCAGACAAGCACTGCCTTCCGTTCCTTCCCATGGCTGTGCAGGGACCTCTCTCTGCCTCTCCTGAGCTGGTGCTGATTAAAGAAGAAGCTGAGTTATCCCAGGGCATTCTCCCTTTGAAAGGGATATGGGAAACCAGAACTGATCGTACAAAACTGATGGTAGTTCTTAACCCAGCTTCTCCAAAAACTGACTGCTCCTGGAACCTGGAATCAAGGTGGAATAAGTGTGGGTAGATGTGGGGGACACGGCGTTCCTTAGAACCCTTTTGTGAACCTGAGCTTCTTAGACTTACCCAGGAGACAGGATAACGGCAATAAAAGCTTGTCACCTGTATTAGCCAAAGCTTTTAAAATCTCAAGTCATGCTGAGAAAATAAGTAGCGACATGTTTGTGGACAGGCTCTTGGGCTTGCTCTTATGTAAGTTTTGTCTAATGGATATTCTATAGTCCAGGCAAAAGCTTCAATATAGATTTGCTAAATACTCAGCTATTTGATGCTGTCTCACTCTGAGGTACTCTTGACCTATACATATCCATTTTGTTTCTGTCAGGTGTAGATCCTTGGTCCAGTGGTTGCTTATTTCCTTTTTAGCAACGCATTACTACAGACATTAAAGGTCTCAGAGACCAGGCTGCATTCTCCTGAAGTGGTGGTGTTCCTTACCTTTAGTTTGTTTTATGTTATGGAAAAGTGAGGAGGAGGAGAAATGGACCTTCTCTCAAAACAATAGGGTCATTCTCTAGCCTGTTTGGAGCTTTTACAGGAAGAAAAAAACCCCAACCACCTAAAACTAGAAAGAGTTCCCTGCTTTTCTTTGTGTTGTCCTGCTTTTCTAAGAGAAAACAATTATTCCTAAGCTGGTTCTAGGGTATGCTTGCTTTGTATGTCAGAGCACCTGTCAGGAAAAAAATTTCCACTTGTCACAGGAAGTATCAGCTGGTCAGTGGTGGAATTCCTTAATGAACAAGCTCCTGCCTTGTCAATCCTCCCCACCTGTCCTCCTCCAGTGACAACTGGAACATGCCACAGACAGAAAATCTGACCTTCCCCAACACCCGTTGAGAAGGGGGTGGAATGTAATCTTTTGGACAACCTGTAAAACACTCCATGTGGTAGTCCTCAATCATTATTATCACTAAGGAACTATTTGTATATGAGGATCTCCTTTGACTTAGCTTCAAGTGACGAGGGCTTGAGAATATTGTATAATATTTTGGGAATATTTGGCGGGGCTGGAGCCAGGGGGTGTTAACCATTTATGGAAGCAATTCGTTCTTGGAGGCCACTTAAAAGCAAAACCCAAAAACTCAAATAGGTTTAAAGAGGGTGAGAAATAACATAGCAATCTAAAACGTCACATGACTGGAGTGGTACGATACTACATATTTTTATAAAGAGCTGAATTAGAGATCTAAAAAGTGGATTCTGGAGGACGCTACCCTGAAGAGCCTGGGTTGAAAGGATCAGAAAAAGGGAAGGACTCCTGCCCCACAGAAACACCGTCCTTCTTCCTCTTCCAGACCCTGGGGCTTCCCTCTTGTTCCTGGGAGGAAGCCCCCTGGCTCCTACTCCAGGTGTCAGGTGGGCTCTGGGACCCTGTTCGTACCCCTTTGTTCTTGACAAATAAGGAAACCACCCCCCAGAGAAGTAGCTGGTCTGAGGGGTCACTCGGTGACAAGAAAGCCTCACCTCCCCCCCGGCATTCTCCCACAGGCCCCGCGTGGCCTGCAGGTCAGGCCTCTCAGCCTCCAAGAACTTGCCTACACCCGTCCCAAGCTGTGAGGAGTCTGCGGGTCTATGTGGTGAAGAGGGGACCCCGTCTCAAGTCATAGCTGTAGGGTTCTGGGCATGATGGCTGGTCCAAGAATAGCTCAGTTGTAGAACTTGGGGGTTTAGGGAGGTAACTACAGGGAATGGGGTTTACCTAAACTGGAGTGTTCATTCCTCTCCCGTCCCCCTCATACCCTCAGCTGAAGTACTACAGGCACTGCTAAATCCCTGGCCCCCACAGCCGTCTGTACGTACCTGGTGCTGACTTAGGGGCTTCTGCGCCACGTGGCACTAGGCAGGCGCACAGGACACGGAGCCTGGCAAGTACCTCTCCTCAGGTGTGGTTTAGAGTTCTGGGTGCCAACAGATTTCCACGATCCCACCCAGCCTTGAAGACTTGCTCTCCTCCTCTTGGAACCTTCCATAACAGTGTGCCCTAAGTCCCCCTCACCTGACCTTTTCTCTCCAGCTCTTGCTGGCTCTGGACAGGAGTGTTCGAGGTGTCGCATTCACTGGTTTGCTCACTGGCTAATGACATCCTTACTCCACCTTTCAGCCTGCTGTTGGGATCCTAATGATGTTCCTTTAACCGCCCCAAACAGCAGGCTGGGACTACTGAGAGGCAGCAGGCAGCTTCTGCAGTTCCTCCTTCCTTCCCTCCCCACCCCGGGGAGAAGCTACGACTGCATTCCTCTGGTCAGGGAAAACACCCAGCCCCGCCCAGAGGGGAGAACCCTTCCTTCTAAAAACTGAGCACCAGCCTGCGTACCTGTGCAGCAAGGCAGCTCAAGCTTGGGTTTGGGGGCCTCAGTAATAGGAAGATGGAGGAGCTATTTTCTCCTCCTACACGTGCACCCCCATCTGTTCGAGATTTCCCTTCCAACTCCAGCTTGGCTGGCAGGCATGTCCCTAAGAAGCTGCAGGCCAAAATGGAGAGAGAGAACGGACTCCCTCCTCCACACATCCTGACTTGCTGCCAGTTGCCGGAAAAAGAGGGTAACATTTGGGCATTTACCAGAAGACAAGGATGTGCCTTTTCATTTGTCTTTTATTTTACATTTAAAAAGAGGTTATTGCTCTAACTGGATCAGAGGTAAGGACCTCTCCCCTAAGGAGCCTTGGCCTTGCAGCCCCATTCAGCAGGGATGGAAGTCACAAGACAATGAGTGGAGCCTCATGCCCTTCCATGAGGAAGCCCTTAGTATTGCTGACATCTGCCTTTTACCCTGTCTCTCCTCCCTTCCTGTGCTGCCACACCGGGCCAAGCAGAGTGGTGGCTGACCTAGCCGGGAGAGCTCTTGTAGACCGGAAGGAAGGGGCGGTCATTGGGTGATGGCTTTCAGCTCTCTGGCTGGTGGGGGGGGGGGCACTTGCTCTTAACGTTCAGTTCAACAGGTATTCACTGAGCGCCTACTGTGTGCCAGGCTTGTGCTAGGTGCAGTCCTCCCACATGCCCGTCATTCACCACCAACGGAAGGCGCCGAGGCCCATCTCTTCCCCTGCAGGCATTCAGCAGCCGTAACTTGTCAGTCCCAGGGAAGAGTCTGCTTTCCCTTATCAAGCACCATTTTGTTTTGTTTTGTTTTGTTTTGTTTACCAGAAAGGGGCAGTGGAGAGAGAGACCTGTTACCTCACACCACTCAGGCTCTAGGGAAGGACATGAGGACCCTGGGTAGCTTTCACAGAACCCTGGATGAGATGGTGAGATATGGAGACCCCAGAGGCCAGGGCTGCTCTGACTGTCCACAGTAATGGCTCAGGCCTGCCTTCCAGCAGCTTCCACTCCAGAGCAGGTGACTCAGCAGCCCCCAGGATGTCCCAAGTGGACATACCTTTCCAGTTGTGTGAGCCAGCATTGTTCCAACTCCAAGAGACTCTTCCTAAAAAAAATGGGGCCAGCACCTCCCAGGTCTCTTTCCCACTTCGTCTTCTTAAGACGCCAGACTAACGATGTTACAGTCAGATAAGGGCCAAAGAAGACAGAGGCTGCAGGCAATCAGCTCGGGGAATTCCTCTGCCCTCTGGAGTGAAGCCCTTCAGTCGTGTTTTCCAAAGAGACAAAACAGAACATCTTACACACTCGCCGAATTGTGCGTCACACAGCAAACAAGTCCTTGATAGCTGGATCCAGAAAAGGCTTGCTGGCAGCCATGACCCTGCCCCACGGCTTCCCTGATGGCTCTAGGTCTGAAAGACACCGTTGGAGTCAGTCTAGGTGCTTGTCATCTCCCAAGAGCTTTGTGCATTTTCTCGAAGAGGAAGCCAGTCCAGGAGAGGCAAGGAGGCAGAAAGAAGGCTGTGTCTCATGCAGCTTTGCCTTTTCCAGAATGGGGCCAGGCCTTTTAGTTTTGTGGCTTGTTTATTTTTTTGCAGAATTTGGGTTTGTAGTTCAGCCTCCTTCACCAGACTAGGATGGGGAAGAGGGAGAACAGTGTAGCTAGCTGGGCCTCCCCCCCACCACGGTCCTCCCTGTCCCTGTGCCCATGGACCTGGAGACCAGCAGAGAAGAAAAATGAAATCCTTCTCCCTGCAGACAGGCAGTCATGCTTCGATGATGTTCACCGAGGGCTTGTTTGGAAACTGGGAGGAAAAAAATGAGAGAAGCAGCCAGGGCTAATCGAATAGACTTCTTGCAAGGTCGGAAATAGGGGGAGGACACGAGAAGGAAGGGCTGCCACCTAAAAGCCAGGCTTTTGTCCCACACGGAAGGAAAGGAGGAGCCCCGCCTGTGGGTCTCGTCTCTCTGCCTTCTCAAACCCAGCCTTCATCCTCACTCACTTAGCGGCCAAGACTGGGTGCCAGGCCCTGGGTCCCCCCAGCCCCCGGTCCACCCCCAGCACAGCCATCCCGCCAGCTGGCTCTCTCCCATCCTGCAGACCTGTCTCTGAGCGCGGCCTCGGCCCCTGACACTGTCGACGTGCTTCTGGAGATGGGGGTTACTAAGAGGCTTCAGGAAAATGCGCCAGAAAGAGAGAAGCCAAGAGAGAAGACAATAAGCCAGGGGGTGTGAGGAGATGGGAGGGAGGAGGAAATGTAGAGAGGGCCAGATGTTTGTTTGTTGGACAATCATCGTCAGAACCATGAGATCCTCCCACTTCTCTACCGTCTCTTCTGAGCTGCTCAGAGCAAGCACTGACAAGGTTTTCATATCTGTTTTGCAGAAGAGGAAATGAAGGTACAAAGAGGTGAAGCACCTGCTCAAGGTCACACAACACGGCAGGGGCCGAAATGAGCCCAGAACCCCCTGTTCGTGCTGTCCCACACCAACCAAGCATTCTGCCCTCCCCACTCGCAGCATTTTCTTAACCCCACTGGCCCCTGGTACCCGGCAATAGGAGAAGGTCCAAAATCCACGTGCAGTGTCCCCTGCATCACACCGGCAGTGGCCAAGCTTGGCTCTGCCCAGCTGCAGGCGCGCCCGGCCCCGCGCTGACCCTGCTGCAGCCCAGGGGCCGCCCGCCCAGGCCCGAGACCTGCCCTCACCTTGCTGCGGAGGAGACCTCCCCCTTGGTGCTCTGGGGTGCTGGTTTCTGACGCGCTCTTGGTTTTCTCCTTGTTGTTATTGGGTTCGTTGTCCTTGATAATGTCATACTGGCGGCAGAAGAGAGCAATGACGCCTGGGGGGGGCGGGGGAGGGCAAGGGAGAGCAGTGAGACGCCAAGGCTCCAGCCCCGCCCGCCCGCTTCCTTCCCACTGGCACCTGCTGAGCAACGGCCCCTGCCTCGCCCGCCCCCCGCCAGCCACCCCCTGCCCCGCGTCCCCTGCTTCCCTTCGTCAAACCCCTGACAGCTCTCTTTTCCAGTGCAGGGAAACAGAAACAGTAACGCCCGCTGAGCCCGGCACGGCTGATGCCCCCGAGTCCTCAGAGCGCTAGGAGGGCACCTGTAGGTCGCAGTGGGGGCACCGACGTAGACAGCCTAGGAACCCACTCAAGGTCCCGCGGTGCGGGGAGCCGGGGTGTGCACTCCAGGGTCTGCGCTCGGCTAAATGCTTATTGTTAGCAAACTACTGATACGTGAACGTGATAGTTTTTGAAAGCCAGATACTATTAAGGAAGCCAACTCCAATTCTGGTAGGTGTCTTCTCCATTTTTACCTCTGCTTTATTTATAGTGCTATTTCCGGATCCACCTGCTTTAGATCCTATCTTTTGACTTTCCACCATGGTAGATACAGGCTAACATCTCCCCCCACTTCCTTTCCCGTCATCCTAACAGATCACATCACAATCTTGGGTTAGTTCACCACGTTTATATTGTTACGATTATGTAAATACTATCTGTGTCATGCCTGACAATGCACCAGAAACCTCTTTGGTACAAGCCTTTGTTTTTCCTTTTTTTTTACAAGTGCCTGTTTTTTGATGTGCCTACAAAATATTTTTTCCAAATGCTTCTACAATACAGCCTGCTCTCTCAACCCCCAAACTAAGACAGCTTTGGCGTGGTGTTCAAGTCCCTCAAAATGGACTCCAGCCTACTTTATAGCCTCCCCTTCCTTCACTGCCCCCCTTCCTACTTTCTTTCTTGGATCATAGCTGCACTGAGCCAGACTGAACTGAATTTGTTTCTTATACATGCTGTCAACAGAACCCTGTTCCTTTTTTTGGCTGCCTGGTGAACTCCTATTCATCCCTCAAAGCTCAATTCCCATCCCATGTTTCCGCCTCTCTGTGTTTTTCCTAATTTCTACTGCAAGCCCTAGAATTAATTCCCTCCCCTCTGCCCCCATACAGGGCACCCATAACACTGAATTATAGTTAAGTAGGGGTCTGGCTTCTCCTAGAGCCAGTTCCTGCAAGCCCCGGGCTCTTCTTAGTCATGACTCTAGTACTATCTGGAACGGAGAGGCCATTCAGAAAATGCCGGTTGAGTTAAGTACCGAGATGAAATGTGTTCTTTATCCTCGAGTAGCTCAGACAAGTGGGAAAAGGCAGAGACATGAGCCCAACGACCTCATCTAAGAGGAGCTACAGGGAGAGACAAGCAGTGCCATATGCTCATGGACAGACTGGGGAGATTTTATGGAGGCGGACTCAGAACTGGGGCTAGAAGCAGGAGTAGGTTAAGAGGGTGTCCGAAGCCCGAAGCACCTGGAGGCCCAGCACCCCAGAGGAGGCATGGTTGCTACAGCCATGGCCAGAAGGCAAAGGGGCTTTGGGTGTGTCTGCCCCAGGAGCCCAAACTACTCCCAAGGGAGGGAAGGGCGAGGGCTCAAATAACAGGTCCTCCAAGGCAGCTAGCTCTCAATCCGCTAAGTTTCTCGTGACAGCTAAGCTAGAGAATGGGTCCCATCTGGTCCCCAGAGCAGGACTTCAAGACTACTCACATCACCTCTCAGCTGCCTCCACTTCTGGGAGGAAAGGGGCCTCCCTTCCCCAGAGGCCAAGCGAGGAAGAACCTGGAGGCACTCACCGGCCCACATGAACAGGACCACTACGATGATCAGCACCTCGCCGGTCCGCAGCTGTTGGCTCCTCCCCATCTCCTTCATGGTCACCTCATCTGCGGGGAGGGAGACACTGGGTCCAAGGTTCTTTTCGTCCCCAGCCACCCATTTAGGGCCAGGCCCAAGATCTTAAGTGCTTATCTCTACAGGTGCCCCGACACCTAACAAAGAGATTTGAGAACATGCTAATGGCTACTTGGGGCAGCAGCCACAGGGCTTGACCCAAAGCTGAGAGTTGATATCCCCACTGTCTCGGGGACTAGGGTGACCTCCTCTCTCTCAGGTCTGGGGGTCCGGGGAGGCAGCGGGGGCCGCTGCTTTCTTCGAGCCACCCACTGCTCTGGCCCTGACTGCCCCCCTTCCCCTCCCAACGCCCCCTAACAGTGCCAGGCCTGCCTTTGTTCTTGGACGCCATCTTCTCTGCCTCACGAGGGGTCTTGAACAGCACTGGCTCGCTGGCCGGACTCTGGCCCTGAATGGAGATGGCCTGCACGTGCACAATGTACTCGGTGTCCTCCTCCAGGTCCCAGAGGGCGCACGAGCGGGTGGTGGTGTTCACCTCCTGGATGAAGCGCAGCATCCGCACGTCCTTCTTCTGCCGAGGCAAACGCCAGGCCCACTGTCGGTAGCGCCCAGCCACGGACCCCGCTTGGCCCCTCTCTCTGGCCGTGACAAGGGCTCACCCGGCTACTGAGCTAAAGCCTTTACACACTTAAGCTTCCCACGCACCCCTCGTCTCTGCAGGTGGCTAAGACTATCGCTAGCTCCATTTTACAGAGAGTGAGACAGCGTGGGTGCAGAGAGGTTAGAAAAGTCGCCCGAGACCGTCTCTCCAGTGAGAACTTGCCCCGGGTCCCGAACTCAGGTCTGTGTGAGATCAAAACCAGACTTCCGATTCCCAGTTTCCAGTCAAAGGCCCCAGAGCCCTCCTCACTGATCCATTCCCCTCTGGGGTCCCCGTTCCAAGCCATACACCCTCCTCCCCACCCCCTGCTACTATCTTGATGTGTCCTTCCCTCCCAGCCCTTCAAGGGTTACCTGCTGAGAGATGGCAAATCCGATGACGACTTCATCTTCCAGGACATCCCAGCTCACCACCGCAGAGTTGGCCTTGAGATGCCTGACAGTGACATTCACTGGGGCCGAGGGGCTATCTGGGGGTGGGGAGGCACCTGAGCCTGAGCACCCCCTGCTGAGGCCCAGGCCCACTGTCTCCTAAGTGGGAACCTGGGGAAGGCCACACAGCGGGGGAAGGAAGAAAGCAAGGCGTCCAATGGAGTTGGCACGTGGGTCTCAGTCCATTAGCGGTTCAAGAGTGAGGCCTGAGAGGCCCAGGCTCCTCCTGTCCAGGGTGGGAGCCCCCACAAGTCACACTGGCCCTATCAGGGTTCCAAGCTAAAACTGATGGGCCTGGGCCAGGGCCAGATCTAACGGAAGGGTGGTTAAAGGTGGGGAGCCAGGCATAGAGGAGGCAGAGGTGGCCAGGTTTGCAGGTGCTGAAAGTTAGTCTGATGAAAAGCAGTCAAAAGGACTCCCAGTCCAGTGCTCTTTTTACAATACCACACTGTTAGGTGAGTGACCTTGAGGGAAGGAGAAAGACCCAGAGGTTGAGAAGAGCCAGGCTAGGATGAGCCCTGGGCTGGGAGTGAGCATCAGGAGAGGAACCACCGTATCACAGTGAGGCAGACAGAATGTAGCCTGGGGAGGGGTCTACGGGAGCCTCTTCACACTCTGCCAGCCCCAAGAGGCAAGTGGGGAGGTGGCGGGGAAGAGGGGGTCACTCAGAGCAGGTTCTCTTAGGGGAGAGTCAAGAGTACAGGCTAGGCAGGGTCTTCTGCATGTGGGAAGGGGGTGAAAGGGGATCAGTCGAGAAGGGAGTGGGGGGGAGACAGGGATGGTGATCAGGGCAGGAAGAACCTCTCTAGGAAGGGGGCCCTGGAGTCACACAGTGTCTACATCTCCCACGGGGCGAGTACGGTGAGGGAAAGATCTGGCCCTGAGCAGCACCCTTCGCCCCACACAGGAGTGGACCTGAGGCCCCAGGGGCTGGGTCTGGGGCGACAAAGCCATGGGTGGAGAGAGAGACAGAGGGACACAGACAGGTGGCGGCAGACACAGAACCAGAAAACAGACAAGTGGGCTATCAGAGACAGACGGAGAGAGGAAGCAGAGAGAGAGAGAGAGAGAGAGAAAACACTGAGCCACAGAGAGATGGGTAGAGGGAGTGATGAGCGAGGCGCCAGAAGCCAAAGGGACAGATACAGAGCCCCAGGAGAGGCTGGGCTGGGGGCAGGCCAGAACATGACTGCCGAGGGCTCAGGGGTCCACCCCACCCACCCGGAGCTCTAGGGTGCCAGTCTCCATCCCCCTCACACTTGCTCAGCAAACTGGGACCCCATCCTGCTCTGACCCGCAGAGTTGTCCTGCAGGGCTTTGGGGACAGGGAGGGAAGCCCAAGGTGGGGGGACTGGTGTCCTCAACTGTTCCCCAGGCCAGAGAAGGAAGCTCAGCTCAGGCACCTGAGGCAAAGGCCTGGGGTCAGGGCCATGGGATGAGGGGACTGGGGATCGCAAGACCCTACACCCCCAAGGCTGGGGTGGCGGGCCAGGGGTCGGGGGCTGGAGGACGGGCCTGGGAGTCAAGAGGTGGGGAAGAGGCCGGGGCCGGGTTGGGAGGGCGGGGAGCAGGAAGGGGCCCGAGGACTCCCGCCCGCCCGCCCCGCGCCGAGCCCCCCGCCCCTGCGCCCCCCCACCCGGGCCCCCTTACCCGCCTGCACGAGCGCGAGGCAGACGCAGCCCAGCCACAGGCGGAGCGCGGCGCGGGGCGGCCCGGGGCGCATGGCGGCTCCTCCGG